TGGGGAGCCTCAAGAGAAGAATTCACTCATTCATACAACAGGCTCCACAGTTTACCACACCGAGAGATAAAAAGTGCGCCAGCTACAAAGAGAATAGCGGGGGCGACGGCCATAAGAACTCTAGATTCCTAGCACAGTATTTTCTATGGTCTTTCTTCCAAATCATATTAGAGCTGCCCAATATCCTTATATTGTAATATCCAGCATTTGTGAATAATCACCTCGTAGTGATTCCCTCTAAGACATAGATACTGCCCGATAGAGTAAAGATACTCTATCCTTTCAAATTCATCGTCGGGGATCTCATTATAAGGGCGAACACCCGTAGTAATCTCAAAAATAAGACACCCAAGAGCAAAAATGTCAGTCGCCTGAGACCTCGGGGAGTCAGGTATCGTACAGTATCGATCTTCTTCCTCTACAAGGGGAAGCTAGTCGCCGATCGAAGAACCAGAGAAATCACAAAGTTTTATCGATAAGTCGCCAGCCACAAGGAAGTTCCAGGCGCTAATATCGGCATAAATAACACCAATACTATGAAGTGAGGATATAGCACTCACGGCCATTTCAACCCACCGCTCTCGAGTTTCGGTTTCGACTTTTTCGTTATAGAGTTCAAGATATTCGCGTAGATTGCCGAGTCGCAAGAAGGGGAGGTGGATAGACGCATCCGTAATCGTGATAAAATCGAGTATATTATCATTCTTTAGTAAAGCTCGGTAGATAGACTTTTCACGCTCAAAACATAACTGAGCATACTCCTAGTTATACAGAATTGTAGCCCTAGTTTCTGTATCACAATTGCAAAGGTCATATCTGAGAGGGGCTTTAATAACTTGGTCGGGAAGACAGGAATTTTGACAAATGATCCCTATAGCCCCAGTAGCTATAATACAAGAGCCACCCTCTGGTCAAAGAATTATGGGGTATTGGTCCATTATGAATTTAGCTCAAGTGGTCCGAAGTTGACCTGGGAGAGGATTAGACCAAGTAGTCTTTCTATATCTAAGATCATATGACTATCATTTACCCCTAGCTAGAGGCAGAGGGCCCGTGCTAATATTAGACCATCTAATTAGGTTTAGTGCTGTTTCTCTTGAGTAGGGCCGAAATAATAGAGATTGCCAATCAAGGGGAGAAACGAGGCTCAGCTTTCACACCCTTAATTCATTGATACATATCAGAATCTAGGATAAATACTGTCATTTTTCATCCCTGATACAGTTAGGTCACGTGACTGACCAGGCTGGTTTGTTCTGCAGAAAAACCAACTCAGATAGTTTTTCTCCCGAAAAACCAGTCCCGCAGTTTTTTCGCCCAAAAAACATCCTTTCATTTTGTTTTGTTTGTTTGATTACTAAGTTATCCATCAGATTATCATGTTTTCCGGACTATTGTCATTTTTAGAGAGTTAGAGAATTGATTGAGATTTTTCTGCCACATATACATTCGCCTTACCACCGTTTTTCCGTCAATACATACTAAAATCGACACTAACCAGTTTTTTAACTTAAAGTGAAAAACATTAACTCTCAGTGATATCAGAAACTAGATCGACACTTGGTTTGATTGCAGTTATTTTAAATACAAAACAAGGGCAATTTCCAAAGGTAAGCGCTGGCCTAGCCGTATACTAGTAAGATAATGCTTGGATTTTAGCCGAGTGACCATTTCGTCGAAGTTATTTCAGCTTCTCGTCCTCAGGAGCTCCTCTGACTGGGGTAAGCGTATGTATTGGTATAGAGAGAATTGGCTACCTACAGGGCAGTCGGGACAGTTTTGCTAACGGTTTATTTTAAGCCCAAGCCATTTTTCCTTCGTGATAATACCGCAGTCGGGGTCATCGCATGGCTCCACTGAGCTTATATCCTTTCTATAGCCACATTTGTATTTGGTAGGAGCGTGAACCATAGTGCACATATTGGATATCTCATACAGGAGTTAACTGGTAAGGGGAAACAATGACAGCCGTAACGTGTGTCTTTAGGACTTCGGGGGCGGGCTCACAATAATGAAAGATATTGTGTAAAGGTAATTTTTTGCCTTAAGTGATAATAGGTATAGCGATCAATTTATTTGATACCTCCCTAACAAGCTAGTCAGCTTATGCTTTAGGCTATTGTACTCTAGCCATTATAACTTCCGCCTCCAAATTTCGGTAATATTTAAAAGCGCAATGACTTCTTAGAAAGGTTACATATTGTCGGAATAGGATTTAAAGACGGTCTCATGATTGTGTAGACCTTTGATAGGCAGCTCCAAGTTCCTTCTAGCAGACTTGATATTATGTAAGCTTTGCGAAAAGTGATTGAGCAAGATAGAAGCTCTCTAGCTCATTAGTGACTATTATTAGGTCGATGCAAATATTTGAAATTATAATCACAGGAAAAGAAGACGTTAATCATTGCTACTTTTGAATTTCAAGGCGGCTACAGCGGAGGTCCTCGTAGGTCTAGACAGGGGAGATAATGCGTCTGAGTGGCACATTTGTAAACTTAGGATATAGTGACACGTCATAATACATATCATAAGGACTAACCAATTTCAGATACCCGCAATGCGTTCATCCCAAAATGGACTTTCTCTCAAGGCCAGATATGTAGTATTTGACTGGCGAGTGGTGAAACCAAGAATCTCATCTGAAAATATCGTATTAAACTCTTCTACCAGTGCAGTTTTTCAAAGCCAGGGCGGACTGCTCTGCTTTCCACTCGCACACCAGCAATCATAGGGATTAGAATGATAATCCGTGGATATATCAAAAGATAGTAGTGAAAAAGAAATCTAACTACTTACGTATAGATCGAAGCGTGAGTAAAGGCGGGTGGTAGAGCCTTTAAATGTGGTCAACCTACAGCTAAGCACGGCGCACGGCGCACAGACCCTCTTTCCCCGCTTAACGATCCATGAATCGCACAAAGCTTCCTTTCCCTTTACTACTCAGTGCGTCCTAATAGGTTCCGCACGATTTTTACAATATCAGGGTAATACCCCTACTTATATCAAGCATCTTAAGTTACGCGTCATTTATTTAGAAGCCACACGTGATACCCCCTCCTATCTGGATTCTCAAAATAGTCAGCACCGGACAGACGAGCAGACCAAGTTATGCGATATTTGCCAGACCCCCGATCGTTACACTGGTAGTTCGAGTATTTATGCTACTAATACCGCTCACAATCAACCGTATCTAGACGAAACCTGCAGTAACAACTTACAAATTGAATTTTGGAAACCCAAGGAACAAGTTAGCGGCAAGTCCACTACAAAGGGTAGAGCCTCGACAGTAGATAATACTAAAGATCTACCGGAGCTTTATTCCAAGTTTAAATGCCTCCCACAATCTGGTAGTTAGAAAGTTTTGTTATTTTCCGACGATATTCAAAAAAAGGAGATTGTTCATCACTTGATATCTAGCCTAGCTCCATCAGAGAGCATTTCTTCATCCAAGCCATCGTCTGCTCCTCTGGTATTAGCCTTATCGGATTACAGCAAGTCTATTAGTACAACAAGTTCGGCAAAAAAAAATCGGTCATTCACATATTTTCGAGAGCTTGTCTTCTGTTCCATATATACTGTTGCGAGAACTGTTATACAAAGCGAAACCGTGTATAACATCATGCGATCCGTTTATAGGTCTGACGCAGGCTCGCAACGGTTCAGAACCCTCATTCATGGTACAAAATGGGTCAATGAAGCTATTTACCATCTATCTCGGACTACATGGGGTTCAAAGAGTTAGGATATTTTCTACACCGGTATAAGGCCCTTTCAGGAATCATGGTAGCAAGGCTAACTCAGAATGATCTTAAAGTTGAACGGCAAGTTGACTTCTTCACTCGAATACATTCTTCCATCAAGCCAGATACCTTCGCGAAAGGGCTGAAGAAAGACTTTTACCCTAACAAGCCTTCGAAAACATCAATGCCCTTTGCAATTCCTTCCATAATAAGAAAGATTTTCAATTACAAAGTGCCGTAAGTCACCTGCTCGAGATGTAGCGCATTGGCTGATATCATCGCTTCAGCCTAGAGCATATTTGTGAAGTTTTGGGTCATCCATTTTCCGATTACCAAAACCTTGACCTTATTAGTCTTAACCAGTTTCTCGATGGCAGCAAAAGACGAATGGCGGAGACATCTGACACTTCGTCAAAACGGCACTGTGGCAGTCCACCTTCTTCATCGGAAGGTAAAAATAGCCTCAATTTTCATTACCTTCCTAAGAATATCTGTACTAACGATTGATCACGACATTTTCACAGATTCACCGCATTCGTTGAGCACTACCGCTTCTTTATCAGCACTCCAGTCACCTATACCTTCAGAATCACTAAGCTACATCGACGAAAACCAGACGAGCGCATCGACCTTAATGGAAAGTCTACTTATCAACGCTACAGTCAGATCAACTGAGGAGATCAGAGATACAAATATTAGCGAAAGATACCAGACCAGCAATTTCCCAACGTCGGATAGCATACCTTCCGAGCATCCCACTCCAGGGAATGACCTGCCAAGATTCTCTATATCAAGAGATATACGTAGACAATCATCTTCTCCGGTGGCCTATTTGGAATCAGGGCCCCAACACAATCAGCCTTTTGTAGAAGGGAATCCCGCTACTTTTTCACCCCAGCCAGAAGGTATGGCCTAAAAAATCGTCTCTCAATCGTAAATATTTAGCTAACATTTCCAGCTTATAACAATTGTGTTTCTGAACAGATCGCTCAAGGCCTTCTCCAATCGACTGAAAATAGAGATTGTTCTAAATCTTTGTTTTCAGGGGATCCTGGCCAGGAGGATGGGCTATTGATTTCTAGGTCTACATTCGATACCAATACACCTGGCAGACTGACAGTAGATTCTAGGATATTTAGTGGGATTCATGGTCTAGTAGAGAAAGGATCATTCGGAGTACATAATTGCCGCTCTCGAGAAATTCCAAGGGATTATCAATCACAATTACAATCGCACTATCTTGAAAAAGGCGCGCGGCAAATGCTGGCTTCCGCCGCAAATCTTCAGTTCACAGATACAAGTGACACATCACCCAGTCAAGCATATTCTAGTCCTAAGACTTCACCCACAGCGGATAGCAGGTACAATGAGGGGCCCTTAAGCCATTGTCAGGTATCGAAATCTCCGATAGACTTCGCGCGCGAACGCAATCTTATCACTAATGACACTACGATATCATACCATCCCTTCGATACGTCAATACCGAGTATCTCTGACCTATCACCTTCAGTTCACTAGAGACAGGAAGATGTATTTGAGAGGAGGCTCAACCTTCCGCAGCAAGGTTTAGATGGTTCTTCGTCAAGCCCACATAGCGCGCTACCGCCGGTAGACCTGGATCAGCTCTATGATTTCCGTATCGATGAGTTCAACCCAGTTTCGAGTACGCCTTTAGTAAGCCCGCATAGCGTGCTACCGCCGGTAGACCTGGACCAGCTCTATGATTTCCGTATCGATGAGTTCAACCCAGTTTCGAGCATGCCTTTAGCGGGCCCGCATAGCGTGCTACCGCCGGTAGACCTGGACCAGCTCTATGATTTCCATATCGATGAGTTCAACCCAGTTTCGAGCATGCCTTTAGCGGGCCCGCATAGCGTGCTACCGCCGGTAGACCTGGACCAGCTCTATGATTTCCGTATCGATGAGTTCAACCCAGTTTCGAGCATGCCTTTAGCGGGCCCGCATAGCGTGCTACCGCCGGTAGACCTAGACCAGCTCTATGATTTCCGTGTCGATGAGTTCAACCCAGTTTCGAGCATGCCTTTAGCGGGCCCGCATAGCGTACTACCGCCGGTAGACCTAGACCAGCTCTATGATTTCCGTATCGATGAGTTCAACCCGGCCACAAAGATACCCCAGCAACCTCCAAGCCGTCTTTTAGCAGGACAGCCGCCCCATCCATTCGCTTAGGACCGTGGTCCAACTATATTTTTCGGTAATAAGACTTCGGTCTCCATTCCTATTACATACAGAATTTAATTTGTATAATACAGAGAATTATTACATTTATGGGACAGATTACCAATGAAATTTCTGGGAGTAACGCGCCCAAATTACTCGGCGCTCAGATATTAGTTAGGTACAAGAAACAATCCAGTAGCACCCGCACCCAAGACTGGCTCGTTATCGACTCGTATGTAACGTCCTACCTCTAACAACCCCCCGGGGATCACATTGATTTCATCAGATAGTAGTATAAGGTATCCTTGCTTTGGGTGATTCACTAATTTTGTGGACTTGGACCAATATCTTAAACGCCCTTCCCATATCTAAAAAGATGAAAAGAATCAGTACTTATTAAACATCCCGTCTATCCCCCCCAACAAAGGAACAAGAAGACTCGCGAACCGTACATACCTCGTCAATGTTTAATTCAATTTTAATCCGAGAAATCAATTCCGAAAGAGCATCCCCACCATACTTTTTGTTTCCACTATCGTCTTCGTGGACCACTGTTACTGGTGATAGCAAGGCCTTTATTTATTTTCTGATCTCCTCGGCTAGAGCAGGTAATAGTCGGGTTTCCATCAAATACCGAAGAATTTGATCACAAATAGGTGCTTTATATATCATAAGTAAATAACCATCAGTTGCAGGATATAGACGTACATTTTAGGGACCGGAAATTCGAAAGCTATTATCACATCGCTGTGAGTTAAACTTAGGAGGGGCAAAAGATTTCTGGGCAGCCAGACGATATTAGGTAAAAGATCACATAACGTTTGAAACCACCTGGCACCTACCAAGACCCCGCACCGCGTGACCTACCCCTCATATCCACATGACAATAAATCCTATGGTGCTTTGCTTAGGCTTACCAGGCATATAGCCGTGCCTTCCCATGCCACCCCCCACCGCCTTCGTGACGTCCGAAACCACCACATATCCCACCGGCTTTCCGATTAAAGTCGCCAATACCTAGACGAGCAGTCTGTGCAGTCAGCCCATGAAATCCTCTCCTGCTCACCTAGGCAACACCCACCGAACTTTCATCGAGCATATATGATTACCTGCTTTATATAAGAGATGAATCCATCGACTTGATTATAGAACCCTAACTTAAGATATTGACTGCGTTAACGATAACTGGCGCTGGTAGGGGAAATAGTTAGGCTCTATCGGTACGTTGCGCCAAAAACACGGTAAAACCGTCCACCGGATATAACTCACTGCAGCGCTTTATTATCAATACCCGCTTTATTATCAATGCCCGAAAATAATAATATTACCATACTTCAGAGCAAACTCAAAGTTCCAAATAAAGGCCAACTTAATACATTCGGGTCATTGCGTGCAAATGCCAAGAGCCCAACTGTTTCCAGATCGGGCTCATGGCCCAATGATGTGCTAGCTCAGCTAAGAGGGTCAATACAGCGATCGCGCCGGCCCGAAGGTTCTTTCTTCTAATACCCGTTCAATATCCACAGTGCAAAAATATATGCACAACAGGCTCATCATATAGGCGACCACCAAGGAAGAGTCTCACGATTTGCGAAACCATGGTCTCAAAACCGTGGTCAACCACGGTTTTTATATACCTCGCATAACAGTTAAAGTTAATACTGCCGTTTTCAACTCTTCTCAATACACCGGGTATATCGAAAAGCCTTCCTACAAACCTCGGCAAAATGCTAGCAGGTCTCTATCAGGACCAGATTCGGAACGCCGATAAAAAGGCTAAAGCAGTTAAAGTTTCCAAAGGTAAGTCTTCTTCACTACGATCATTGACGTTAGCTTTAACCACATAATAGGTCGCCCACAGAGACTTAATAAACCAAAACTATCTCAATATCATCTAGAGGCACACCATAAAGCGACTCCATATCTATATACTCTGTATCTTACTTTAGTTAACAATCCATTTATCGGCTTTTACAACCCAATCACAGAAAACCAAATTCCACCTAAAGCAGCAAGAGACGCCATCAGGGAGCTTAACAGAATCAATATCCGCCTAATAGACAGAAACATTGCCAACGATTTAGACCTAGGTCTCGGTCAAATCCAGTGGCAGTGCTTTATTAAAAAATGGAAAACGATCATCTTCGTGCTAAAGAACACTCACCAAACCGGAGAACCAGAAATAAAACCATTCATACTCGCCCTCTCGAATATATATAAAGAATACGACTATCCAAACGCATGGGCCAGTATACCTCCTAGTGAGCCAGCAGAGGCCCATAGAGTTAACAAGATCAAGACCGAGTAAGCATTACTCGGTTTCTACATGACTCCCTTACGAGCTTTCGTTCAGATTCTCTGGTCTTAGTATAGAAGAGGTATCGAAATATATGAATTTAGTACATCGTGATCGTTATTCTATACCGCTTAGTAATATAATTGAGTTTTTCACGATAGAATAGGTATGCTTAATAATACTCGAAACAACGTCTAAAATTTGGAGATAAGAATATCAACTTGAAAAGGACTAAGCACAAATATAATATCGCAACTTCTATCTGATACCGCATACATATCTTACCCTGCAAAAGGGTAGCATCTAACATATCCTGTGAATGGTACTCGACAAAAAGGACACATCTTCGGCGTTTCAAGATTTCCTGCGCATGACTCGCAAACCATATATCCACAAAGAATAGTCACCCAGTGATCTGGCTACATATAGCAGATCTTACACTCTAGTTTAGGCCTTTCCCTTTCCTAGGAAAGCGCCCTTTAGGTATGTTTGTGCGCTTCCCTCTCGAGGTAAAGTACATCTTGTAATAGTTGAATATCACAGTCAACTGCCTTTCGGAGCTCTTCAAAAGCGTTATCCTAGCAATTGTTAGTTCAGAAAGAAGAAGATACTGTAATCAGGGGGAATTGGTACCATTAATAGCTCCTTTATTTCGGTTCTTTTGCATTTGCGTAAGGGTATTGTATCCGCCTTATCAGCATTTAATTCAACGATCATACTCTCAAAGTCCCAGTATCTGTAATCACGGCGTAGGCCCCTTCGAGGGCATAAACTACCTGGCTCGAGCCTATGAATCTCCTCGTCGTCATCGATAACAATCGTATCAGAAGGGCTTGCCATTTAGGATCTTTAAGATAGGGGAGGAAATAAGCCGGTCGGATAAGGGGAAAGGATAATCTAAGAAAATATCACCAGCGGGGGAAAGGAGGCGCTTTATATGCCTAAGGGTCAGCGTTAGTGGAGTCAGCCTCGGGGAACCATTAGATAAGATACGTTCGTAATAGTTCCAGCGGCATTGTAGGATTAGGCCTCGAACCATAATAGCATAAGACTAGGATATAGCGCTATCATACACTACCCCAAGGCAGACAATATATGCCCATACCGATTAGGAGAACAAGTTCCCCGTTTAAACTGAGGCCATGGCTCTTTCACCACCTCTAACAACAACGAATCAGAGCCCTAGGGCTACAGATAGAATCTAGTCGTTTTACCTTCTATCTTATCTCACAAAACGACTAGTACTTAGGATACGCGCAGAGAGCAGGGCTGTATTTACCTAGAATAGAAGTAAGGCTTTATGATTTCAAGCCTACCTTATCATAGATAAAACGATTGGCAAGCGGTCCCTTAACAGTTCTTGCCGTTTTAGTTTAACGCTTACTAGAAGGTGTCTGCCTTACTATCTCGTTAGCAAGGCGCAAATGACCCTGAGAGTCATATAAATATAGGCTTTCTGCACATGATTTCCAGCCATCAAGAGTTCAATTCAATTGATTTTTTCCCTATGCATTCTCAAACAAGCATGACACTGGAAAGCCGAGGTATAGGGATCAATCCTCTACAGATATATCTTAATAACCTAAGTTCTAGAACCTTATTGTTCTACAGAATGTATGATCTACAACGCGATTCACCTAGCCGATTACCGTAGCTCCAATTATAACCCAATCGCGGTTATCAATAAGAGCCATTATAACAACCGTGTCTTTGACCGTAATGACTGGCGTGGCACCAACAACATGCAATCACCGGCCTTTCCTTTAGGTTCAGTTCCCAATCATATCGCAGTTCCTAAGGAAAGCGACGGTTATCACAGAGACTACGACACCGGCACCAGAACTTATGGGCACCAGAATGATTTCTTTAAATCGAGCTTTGATCCCTCTCTTTCTGTTCCTCCTTACACTCAAGGGCCTCAATACTTTGATTTGAGTCCTTTGGGCTATACCCTTAACACCTGGAGTATAATGACACCAGAGCTCTATCCTCCTTCTCCTTTTCCTTTAGGTGGAAATGCAATAGATCTGAACGAGGCCAGCAAAGACTATTCTAGCTTTTATACCAATGGTAGAAGCCAGGCTATCTCTTTCCCGTTCATCCCATTACCGAATGCAATACTAGCCTACGAAGACCATAAAAGCCTTCAGGTCTTCGGGCAATCACCTACAAGCAATCCATGCCTAGTGGATGAAACTCTGGATATTACAGGCATTTTTGATTTACAAGCCTATTACTACGACACGGGGGCTAACCCGTTTCAGAAGTCTCCCACCGGTAAGCTGAAGCTAGAGTCATATAAAGAGCTTTTTTTAACAGGTCTTAGAAAGCAGATACACTTGGTCCACAAACGAGAATACCACGTCAGAAGAAACCCTTCAAGTTACTCCGCCAAAGCTTAGACGATCACAGCGTTTAATCGAAAAGTCTAGAGCAGCCTAACGGCCTTTCTGGTTTTATTCTCTATCTCATTTAATTCGTTATTTCTATTATCACTTGAATATATACTACATTTAGATCTACTAAATAAAGAATATGTTATTACAGCCCAGCTAAGTAGCAACAGAGGAAGGTATATATTTTCGTGGTTACCTCGGCAATTGATAATATCCATGTCAAATATAGTTTAGCTACATAATGCTACTCACATAAAAAGCGTGGTTTAATTTTATAAATAAAAGATAATATCACTTCAAATAGAAGATTTAACATAGCTTTATAGTTACACTCTAGCACCGAAAATGTGATTATACATAATGGACTCCCTAGGCCACCACTTCTGACTCATTATATACCCAAGCTGATACTAATAAAGCACCTGTCACGATTAGCACGTGTAGAACTCGTACCTTCCCGTTTGGGATCGTACCGTTGGTCGTTTGCGCAAGCAATCGTACCTTCCTTTATGGCTAAGCGAGGATAGGGCTTTGCCCCCGAAGGGGTATAAGGACCTGTTTGTTATTTTACGTTTTATTTTCTTTTCCTTTTTTCTTTATACTTGATATTTGATTAGAATGTACTTCTTTTGTTAAAGAGAACCTGGTATATAATATAATATCAAGTATCACCCTAAACCCAAACTTTCGAAGCCGTATAACTGTATAGATAATCATTATAATTAGTCCTAGTCCGGTTTTACCCTACCTATCCTAAAACTAACTAGAATAGGACTAGCTATAGTTCTACTATAATAGATCGCTGCGATCGGTAAGGGAAAATAACCTGTAGTGCCGGATTGTCTTATAGAAGAAGCTATAAACCTTAAAACCCCGACTCCTACTAGAATATAGGACCTAATTAAAAGTATTAAATATAATAGTCCTGAGGAGGGTCCTTCGACTCCTTCTATCTAAGAGATTATATATATAACTCCTAGTAAGGAACGATTTGTTAAGCTAGCTAATTGGTTCTAAATAGTTAAAGATAATAACTAGATAATATAAGATAAAATCTAAATCCTAATTATAGAGAATAGAAAGTCCGAAGAAGCTATTAAATGAATTATAGAGGAATATAATCGATTCTATATAGAAAGGAATTGCCTTATAATAGAATATAACTAAGCTATAGAAGAATATAATAAGGCTACTACTTATAGAGATATTACTATATATAAGTATAATAACCTTACCTACTACCTTATTCTTACTTAGAGCGAAATAAACTAGGCTTAAAGTAATATACCGATTATAGGAGTTACTGGCTAGAGATCTATAAAGATACCTAATATACTAATACTAAAGGATAGAAAGGAAGTCTATTTCGAAATATAAGAAATAGTTATTAGATAGAAACTTAAAGTAAATACCGATTACTACCTACTACTAGTTTACTAGAAGCTATATATATAAAGCTAATATAAAGGTAAAGTATAGCTATATATTACCCTACGAATAAGTGTAACCTCTAATAACCTATATATCGATATAGAAGATATTATTATCTACCTCTATACTATCTTTATAAACCCGAATCGTTATATAGAAGTATATACAGCCTACTATAAACTTAAGATAAAACCTAAGGAGGATTTTACCGACTTTTTAGCTAAATTTATATAACTTATAGAGGAAGCTACGGTTATTAAAGAAAACTATAAGTATAACCTATATTTAAAACTTCTATATCTATTATAGAGCTAAGTTATATAGGCTATTAATTAGGAAACGGTTCCTTTCGATACCTTTACCTAAAGTTATTAGAGTATATCCTATAAGATTAGTCTCTAATAGGAAGTAAAGGGTACTATATATACCTATATAATAACTATATTTAGAAGTAGAGCTAGGACTACTACTAACTAGTCTAGTTTTATCCTATATATAAAGTATAAAGGGGCTACCTTATCGTCTAGCCTATTAGCTATAGAGTAAGAGACTCTTATAAAGGAGGGTCGATACTTCTACTATAAGGAGAAGGGGTATATAATGTTCGAATACCTAAAGAAAAAGGCGAATATAGCTATAAGTACTGTTACTATAACTAACTAGACCTATAGCTAGTTGTATATAACTAAACTCGAAGAATTAGAGGATAATATAGACCTAGGAAAAGTAATAGCCTAGGAGAAGTCTTAATCTATAAGACCCCTAGGTATAGAATACCTAAGGGAATGCTATATATAATAGAGGATTAGGAAATAGAGATAGTGATATTGTGATCCTAGACCCCTGTCATGTGATCATATATAAGCACGTGCCTCGTTATATGACCATTACGTGCCTGTGCGGTCCTATATAGACCATTCTATATACTTAGGTACTCCTAACTCCTATACTAGATTGTACTTAGTTATTAGCTTACCTAACCTAATAGAAACTATACGATCCTCTCTGTATTATATCTAGTAGTATATTAGTTTAAGCTAACTCCTACGTTAGCCTAGGGAGGTGTAAGATAGTAACCGCGGCTGTACAGCTAAGGTAAGATCAGTCCCTCTTATACCATCCCGATATATAATCTAGTAGACCTAAATGCTAGGTATTGTAGATTCTTATCCTATTGCTTCTCCTATATACCCTCCCGAACCCTTATAAGATAAAGAGGGCGTTAGGGCTATATTACTATAGCTAGTACCAGAGAATAGTAAGAGAATGGTCGGTAAACTGACTATTATTAGCTAATATTAGATTCTAAGGCTATAAAGGTATCTATAGATACATACCCCCTAACTAATACTAAGGTGTATAACGGCTACATATAACCTAATCCCTCCTCCCCTTATATAGCGGGAGGGGGGGGAATACTATATATAGCTAGACCATACGCTGTTAGAGTATATATTATTATAAACTAGGTTATATAACCTAGGGGGATCCTAAGCGGCAGCCTATTATCTAATACCTAGCTATCTAGCCAGATCTATATCTAGGCGCTACCACTATAAAAGGGTAGCTTCCTAACCTAATAAGAGGAATAGAAACCAGTTAATTTCTACCCTCTAAGTAATAAAAAGCTCTAACCCCTAATAAATATATCTATATAAGTCTCTAAAGCCCCTACTTTAGCCGAAATCTATGCTAACCTTCTAGATAGTATTAATAAAGCCCTTAACCTCCTAACTGAGATAGAATGTGATATCTATATTTAGATATATAGGAATCCTATAATAACTAATATACTAGTCTACCCCGCTGTTATTTCTACTACCTAAAAGGCCTAAAGGGCCCTAGAAGTATAGGAAGAGACTATACAGCTAATTGCCTAGTATACTAAGGAATAGGCTGTATAATAAGCTACCTACAAAATAGTCTAATAGGCTACCTAGTAGGCTGCTTAGTAGGCTGCCTAATAGGCCTAGTAGGCTGCTTAGTAGGCCGCCTAATAGGCCTAGTAGGCTA